GGACTACACCAATAGCCACAACACCTGGCTATTTTTTTGTTGTAGTTGTCATTGTTTGGCAGGGCCGGTCCAGGTTTGAACCCACCATCCCTGGGGTATGTAGCAGGTGCCCTACCCACTGAGTACAGGCTCCAAGCCACAGCAGTTTATTTTAACTCTTGATTGGATACTTACATTTTGTACTAAGATGCATAAATATAAGAATTTTGAAAAGAAGAATACAATAGGACTATTTAAACATGTTATTAATATTTAATAAAAATTAACAATGGCATTTCTGTCCTATAATGCCCTATGATATTTTTACTTTTTCTGTTGTCTTACCTGTAGGCTTTAGGAAATTCTTCTTTAGTAAGTAGTGATCAAACTGAATACAGTCAAATGTAAAATTCTTTGACTTGCAGGTCTGCTGTTTGTAAGCCCATATTATACATTACACTGATCCCTGGTGTCAGTCCAGTGTGTTGGCATCAAACTAACTGTCCTCTCAACAAAAACATTTGAGCGTGGGATAGTTGGGATTTTATTCACCAACAACAGCAGGGTTTTAGACTTTGCAGGGATCTGTTTCCATCTCTCCAGTGATGTCCATTCACTTTGTATCTACAGGCTGGTTTCAATTAAGCAACTGTTTTCATCTTTTGCATTGATAAATTCATCACATAGGATAGCCATGCTTTTTAAACATTTCTGAGCACACTCGATATCATCATAAGTTAAGCCTCCCTCTCTCAGAGAAAATGGTTTTATTGACTGACTGAGACAGTCTCACTGTGTTGCCCTGGCTATAGTGCAGTAGCTTTATCATAGCTCACTGCAACATTAAACTCGTGGGCTCAAGCAATCCTCCTGCCTCAGCCTCTCAAACTACTGAGATTACAGACTCACACCACGGTGTAGGACTAAAGATGGTTTTAAAGCACAGAGATAATTTGAACCTGTGAAATTAAAGTTAGATTCCAGATAAATTACAGTTTTAGTAAAGAAATGAGTAAGTTCTATTTAAACTGATTGGCTTGGCGCCTGTGGCTCCAGCGGCTAAGGCGCCAGCCACATACACCTAAGGTGGTGGGTTCGAATCCAGCCCAGGCCTGCCAAACAACAATGACGGCTGCAACCAAAAAATTGCCGGGCGTTGTGGCAGGCGCCTGTGGTCCCAGCTACTTGGGAGGCTGAGGCAGGAGACTCGCTTGAGCCCAGGAGTTGGAGGTTGCTGTG